GAAAAATTTTCTGATTAAACCTTGAATGTCATTAGAATCACAAGATAACAGAAGTGTTCTCCTTAGCTAAACTAATGAGCCTAATTCCATTTGGATTTGTGCATCCCAATAATTTTTTTCTCTGTAGGTCTCATTTGCATAGAAATGTTATGAAATGAGATAAAATCCATGGTCCTCACCACAAAACATGACTTCTGCACAGAAAACATACAGTCGGAAAAGTCCGAACTCTTTAGCAAGTCCTCAAAGGCAACATGTGACATCTGTGAAGTCAAGAAGCAAGTGTCACCTTGACTCAAATGCCTCATGTAATTGCAGAATCCCTCACTTTATCCATTTGAAGGAAAACTCTCAACCCTGTGGTTTGGATCAATGAAGCCAAGCAGACAGGACAGCTGACACTTTTGCACGGTTCTTTTAGACGATGTGTTTTAGATCTGTCAGATGGCATTAAAAAATCTCCTCTAGGTCTGAGTCTAATGTCAGAATGGTAAATTTCAGAAAAATATAAAAGCTGCCCACTTCTGACTGTTTTGAACTTCATAGCAGAAAATAATATCAGAATCTTGCCATCTGCTATTTCTACCAAAGTAAGGCAGCTTTCCAAATCTGGTGTCTCATCACAAGTTTATGGGCAAAAAGAATCTAATTTCTTTTCCTTCCTTCCTTCCTTCCCTCCTTCCCTCCTTCCCTCCTTCCCTCCTTCCTTCCTTCCTTCCTTTCTTCCTTCCAACAGTCTCACTGTTGCCCAAGCTGGAGTGCAGTGATGCAATCATAGCTCACTATGATCTTGAATTCCTGAGTTCAAGTGATCCTCCCACGTAGCTGGGACTACAGGCGTGCACCACGAAACCCAGATAATTATTTAATCTTTATTAGAGATAGGGTCTCAGTATGTCGCCCAGGCTGGTCTTGAACTCCGAGGCTCAAGCAATCCCAAAGTGGTGAGATTACAGGTGTGATCAACTACGCCCAGTCTAATTTTTTGGAAAACTATACCCAAGCCACTAATTTTTGAAGGTGAGTTATATTACCTTCAAATGACTTGATTATCTGACATTTCTGACCATCTAAATGAACTTAATTGAAAAAAAAATTGATGGCTATATGAAAATAGCATGTACCGAAAACATTGATGAATTCACAGCAAGAATTTGCTTTTGGTGAAAGAATTACATGGTTTGCTACAGATGGTTTTAGAATTTGAATCCTAAAGAAGAACTGTTGAAATGAACAGAACCATATCTGTGCACGCATGAAGAGAAATGTTATTGTTTCAAAATACTCGAAAGGAAAAAGTTTGATGGTATTTGAAATCCACTGGCCCCATCGCAATACACTTCAACAGGACATACATCAATGAGTAAAATGGGAATACCTATGAGATTTAAGAGTCTCACTTAAGAGGGCAATAAAAGATGGTGTGAATGAAAATTTCAATTTTCATAGCTGCATAAACTTTATTTCCCAGGAAGCCAATGGATGCGAAGAAAGACTGAGTGAATTTAATGAACACACACAAACAATGTTAGAAAACACTTGCTGAAGACAGAGATAAGGCTGACATTCTTGGAGATGATGTGGATGGTGAGCTCTTGCCATGAAAGCTAAACGCATTAAAAGGTGGAGACTTGCTAGAAATCAGAAGGAATGTTGATGAAACTGATTTATGTGTTAAGATAAATGAGTCTTTAAAGTCTCTGGAAGAAAAAGCAACCAAATCTACATATAATTATCTGAAAGTGGATAAAATAGCAGTTGCACATACAGATTATATGAAAAGTCTCCAAAATGAACAAGTCAGAAAACACACACACAACTTGAAAGTCAAATTGGAAAGTGTCTGCAGAAACATAAACTCTTAGTAAATTATGCTCCTCCCATCAATATGGTGAAAGATAAGCAAATATTTAAGGTAAATTTATCCTGGAAAGAAGGAGGAGAATCTTTCCCAAGCAACTCAAAAGATCATCTATGCATTCAGGGAACTGAATGCCTATGGAATTCAAGCAAAAATTCGTCCAGCAAAAAATATTGGAAAGATCTATTATTCTTAGCAATTATTCTAAGAGGACAAAGCTTATGTTGTTTGAAGACTTAATGAGAAAACTTGGGGACTTGGTTAACTTAAGAAAATGTACGCAGAAAAAAAAATTGAGGGGGAAATTAAATTTTCAAAAAGTATCTTTAAGTTCTTGGTGTTCAAGTAAAGGAAGGATGGGGGGATGTGCAAAGGTTCTCACAGGAGTCCCAGGAATTCTCTGGATAACTGGAATCCTAAGAAAAATTTAAATTTAAATTATTCCTCAGATTTTTTTTTTTTTTGCATTCAAGAAACACAGGGAAAAGATTACTCCATTAGATCTACTGAGTCATGACAGCAATTTCTACCCAAATGCAAGACTGACTCACCATGGTGTTCCTCATGCTAGAAGACAACTTTTTGTGAAATAATGAAAGTATCTTTCAGCTTCAGAAATAGAGGTGACCCACCATTTGCCAGAGTGCAGTCACGTGACTTCACTTATCCACAAGAGATGCTGGGAAATGTAGTTCAGCTGGGGAACCATGCCCACAGCTCCATACACCAGAAATATAGCACTATTGAAACTATTAAGACAGATAGAAGGGATTTGGGTGGACAACATGTGCATTCTCTAGGACTCTGTGTTTTTAGTTAGGTTGAGCAGTCTTGACTTTATGGTCTTGACTTCCGAACTAATTCTTTTATTTTTATTTTTAAGTTCCACGGTACATGTGCAGGATGTGCAGGTTGTTACATAGGTAGACGTGTGCCATGGTGGTTTGCTGCATCTATCAACCCACCACCTAGGTATTAAGCCCAGCATGCATTAGCTATTTTTTCTGATGCTCTCCCTCCCTATCCAATCCCCCCACAGATCCCAGTGTGTGTTGTTCCCTTCCCTATGTCCATGTGTTCTCATTGTTCAGCTCCCACTTATAAGTGAGAACATGAGATGTTTGGTCTTTTTTTGTTTGTTTGTTTTTTCTTTGAGACAAGAGTCTCACTCTGTCAGCCAGGCTGGAGTGCAGTGGTGTGATCTCCACTTACTGCAACCTTGACCTCTTGTGTTCAAGTGATTCTTGTGCCCCAGCCTACCAAGTAGCTGGAATTACAGTAGTGCACCATCATGCCTGTTTAATTTTTTGTATTTTTGATAGAGATGGGATTTCACCATGTTGGCCAGGCTGGTCTCAAACCCTTGACCTCAGGTGATGCACCCACCTTGGCCTCCCAAAGTGCTGGGATTACAGGCATGAGCCACTACACCCAACCTTCACACATTAAGTCTTATATCCTCAACACAGCTTGGAGAGGAAGACCCTCTTAGGATAACCTTCCTTGTTTTTCTCCCAAATGGGATGGCCATAGCCAAGAGAGGTTGTATAACTTGTGTAAGTCAGCACAGCTAGAAATTGAGAAACCGGGATGTGAATCTATAAATTGAGTCTCAGAGTCCAAAATTTAACCCTGACTAATCTTGCCTACTACTTCTATAGGCAAGCTAAATGAATTTCCCCATCATTTTTTTTAATTAGGGGAAAAATAAAAACATGTACACATCATGTGTTAATGTATGCATTCATTCCCTGGGGCTGCTATAGCAACGTATTGCAAACTGAGTGGCCTGAACAATGGACATTTGTTATTCTTGCACAGTTCTGGCACCGGAAGTCCAAAGCCAGGGTGTCTGCAGGGCTATGTTCCCTCTGAAGGCTCTAGGAAAGGATCTGTTCCAGGGTCCTCTGCTTGCTTTGGGTAGTTCTTTGGCTTGTGGTAACATCACTCCAATCTTCCCACAGCATTCTCCTTATGTGACTACCTGTATCCAAATCCCACGTTCTTATAAAGACATCAGGCATATGGGATTAGGGACCCACCTTACTCCAGTATGACCTCATTTCAATAAAGTAATTACCTCTGCAAAAGCCTTATTTTCAATAAAGCCACATTCTGAGATGCCAGGGGTTAGGACTTCAACATATGAATCTGAGGGGACATAATTCAACCATATCAGTGTGTCAGTACTGTGTGTGTGTGTGTGTGTGTGTGTGTGTGTGTAACTGCATATTCCAATTCCAGTAGTCAAAGGTGAATCAGCAGAATCATAGTTTCCTCTTTCCTACAACTAGAACAATTTCATATAATGGTTTATACTTGGGCAAAAAAAAGTTGCTATTTTTAAGTCTGTGTAGAAAACATTAAAAACATTTTCTTTCCTCTAGCTTATTTTATTTTAATAATAAGTTGACAGTTTTTGGAGAGTCAAAAGTTGTACATAGATTTTCAACTGTTTCAAAAGCCACACTTGCCTCCTCTTTGTGGGGACTTGACTGCATCTTATGGTAAATGGATAAATATCTTTGTGCTGGAATGAAGAGAAGCCATGACTAATTAGGAAATAAAAAGTTATGAAGAAAGTAATAAGGACGATAAACTGAATGAATGTATTTTTTATTAAGCGGAAGTGGATCACCACAAAGGTCTTCATCCTTATCATCTTCACACTGAGGAGACTGAGGGTTGGTCCTGCTGCCTCAGCAATGGCAGAGCCAGAAGAAAATTCACGTATAGGTGGACCTATTCAGTTCAGCCCTGTGTTCAAGGATCAACTGTACAATCAAGGACATGGCATTTTATTAAGGCTTTTCTCATCTGTTCAATTATCACCTTCTCAGCATGAAAAGAATACCCTAAAGGTGGTCTTCATGACCCCACAAAGAGAGGTTCCCCCAAGCAATCATTATTCAAACATTTTCATTTTAAGTGGGTTGAACATTACCCTTGCCACCCAGGTGAGTTTTATCTTATTATTAGGTAATGCTGTGTATTTCATATGTTCATAATCTATCTGGAGCTTTAAGAGATTTGTTGCATATTATCCACAGCTATGAAGGTTCATAATTTTGGGGCCACTTCTACAGCTGTTTCATAAAATTTATTTGTGAAATATAGAAAAAACTATGCAACAATCAAATCCAGTATTTTTTCTCTTACCTTTATTTAAAATGATTAAAAATGGTTTATGACAGTTTAGAAAATGGAATGGATTAAAAGCTAAAAATGTTTAGATTCCATTTAAGTAGGTATGTGTGTGTGTATGTAACTAAAAACACAAAGACTTTTTCACAAGAATTTAATTAAGCTCATGTTGAAATTCTTATAGAGAAAATAGTAACTAAGCATCAGACGTCACCATTTCTACAAGAGAACTTCTACAAGAATTAAAAAGTGTTGCAGGAGCGAATACTGAAATAGGAAATATGTGCTATCTTCAAATTGCACAAGTTACACATGAATCCACAATTTGAGACACACAGCTCTGAGTTACCTAATGTGAATTATTAGTTGAAGGTATTTTACAAATTGGGGAGCTCTTTCAAGTGGTTTTCACTTTCAACCTTCTCTCTTTGAAGACCCCAATTCACAATGATGAGCACAAAGCATGAACACTGGAAATTTTTATGGGTCCTGTATGTACACTCCAGACTGTACATGAATGTCTTAATCTTTGGTTCTGATATTTAGGGCAAAATCTAAATGTGTTATGAACATTAACCTTAGTTTAATCAAGCTATACAAATAGGCCCGAACCATCCTTTTCCCTCTGCCCACAAGTGTTTCTAAAAGAGAAGCAAATAGCTAGCATACTTCTTGAATGCCTAAGGATTTAAGACTTCCTACTCTGGTGAATTGAAAAAGTTTAAAGCAAGGAAAGCAATGTTGTTGCCTTAGGAACTAGTACTTACAGAATTTCAAAGACTGAAAATACTTCTGATAATCGCCATTTCTGTCTCCTATGTGCCAAAACACATCAAAACTATATGATTTCCCGGGAAAAAGTATCCCAGGATTTCCCCCAGATGGTTTTAACATAAGTCGTTTTGCACTGAACATTTCAAAATGCAGACTTACTTTCTCAGGTAATAATAGCTTTATGTGCAGATACATCAGAGCTGAAAGGAGGTTCAAACCTTGCTTGTGGGTATCAGAAATAATTCATACCCACTTCATTAGCAATAACGAATGCTCAATGATTTTTGACATCACTGAAGAATTCAGCATAGGTCCAGCATCCTTGGAACCTCAACAGTATTCTTCACCTCCCAGAAGCTGATAACATTCCCTCCCTACTGCTTACTGCTTTGTCACATCACCATGGTTAATCATGTGTGTGTTACTGCACCATGAAGTACCTGAAGTTTTCAGAACAGAGAGCCACAGTCTCTCTGTGTGAATGAATGACAAACCAACAGAGAAAGCAATTTTTTTTTTTTTTTTTTTACAATGCAGGGTCTAGCTGCCCAACTTATCTTTATAACCACATCACATCCAATGAGTTGGGAATTCTTAGTGAGGCAGCTCACGTACTTCACACAGAAGAAAACACACTTTAGCTCATCAAATTGTGTCAAGAATAAAAGGAAATTTCTATAACAGTGATAAACAGGGTTCTTGTTTTGGTTGAGCTTTTCTCAAAGTAATCAGGGGATCTTAACATCTTCAGACATTTTCTGGTTCTGAAAGGAAGATTGGAAACAAATGTCATCGTGGGGACAAAAAAGTCTATTAAAAAAAGAAAAAGAAAACCAAGATCCAACTATATGCTGTTACAGAAGACGTGCTCTAGATTTAGAAGAGGGAAGTAGATTAGAACAGAAAGAAATGAAGCAGAAATGGGCCAGGCACCATAGCTCATGCCTGTAATCCCAGCACTTTGGGAGGCCGTGGTGGGTACATCATGAGGTCAGGAGTTTGAGACCAGCCTGGCCAAGATGGTGAAACCCCGTCTCTACTAAAAACACAAAAATTAGCTCAGTGTGGTGGCACGTGCCTGTAATCCCAGCTACTTAGGAGGCTGAGGCAAGAGAATTGCTTGAACTTGGGAGGTGGAGGTCGCAGTGAGCCGAGACTATGACACTGTGACACTGCACTACAGCCTGGGCAACAGAGCAAGGTTCTGTCTCAAAAAAAAAAAAAAAAAAAGCAGATATGAAGTTGTACATCTTAAATATATACACTGTTTGTCTATTACACCTTAAGAAAGCTAGAACAATGAAAAATCTCTTTAAAAAAAAGAAAACCAAGAGCCAACTATGTGCTGTCTACATGAGACTTGCTTTAGATTCAGCAGAAGGAAATAGATTAGAACAGAAATAAATGATGCAGAAATGAAGTTGTACATCTTAAATATATACAATGTTTATCTCTCAACTATACATTAGCAAACCTGGAAAAATTAAAAGTATTTTAAAACTGTTAAAATCATATCTGCAAACAAATATTAGTTTTCAAAACATTGTTTTGTTAAGGATTTTGATGATCTTAAATGAACTGCATAACTTTCTTTTTGGTTAAAACTAGTCTTTGTAGAAACTTCTTTTTTTGAATATGGCCTCACTGGTCTTTATAACTTCGGAAGTGGTATTGTTATTTGCTCCACTTTACAAAATAAAAGCAAAGTATGATTTTTTTTTTTTTTTTTTTTTTGAGACGGAGTTTCGCTCTTGTTACCCAGGCTGGAGTGCAATGGCGCGATCTCGGCTCACCGTAACCTCCGCCTCCCAGGTTCAAGCAATTCTCCTGCCTCAGCCTCCCGAGTAGCTGGGACTACAGGCACTCGCCACCACGCCCAGCTAATTTTTGTATTTTAAGTAGAGAAGGGCTTTCACCATGTTGGCTAGGATGGTCTCGATCTCTTGACCTCATGATCCACTCGCCTCGGCCTCCCAAAGTGCTGGGATTATAGGCATGACACACCACGCCCGGTCCAAAGTATGACTCTTAAAAGTCCACATCAAGTGACAGACATCTGCTGCCATCTATGTAGCTCCATTACTACAACCCTTTCTCTAGAAACTGTGCAGGCCTCAGTGTATGGCCTCAGCATGGATACAGTTCCGCAGGCTGTGCACTGCACTACATCACCATGGAGATGGTTAGTATACCATGCACATCATCCTCTAGGAGAGAGAAAATTAATGACTCAACTAAGGAAAGATGGACAGCTGGGTACCACTGGAGCGAAGTTTGCAGATCCCTAAGCCCCATTTGGTACCAAACCCATACATAGTGCTGCCATACACATATTTCCTACATAGTATAAAGGTTTTATAGCCAGTGAGGTGATACAGGCCCTGGATCCACCTAAAAGTCACTGCTCACCTTGAAGAGATTCCCCTAACATCATCTCACTCTGTCTGCATCCTCCTCCGTTTTGATCTCTTTAAGCGAGGGGAAGTTAAACTTGGTGCTTGGAAATACTTGGTAAAGGTAACATTGACGTACAACGGAGAAATCAGACAAAATACTTACCAGGTAGCCAAAAGGCATGAAAGAGCTTCAAGGCATTACATCTCTTTAGCAAAAACGTGCTTCCACCTCAGATAAATGGGGCAGGCATGGTCCACATTTTCAAAACTACACCTGTTTCAGAAACTCAACTGGCCCCGTTCCAATAAAGCTTTATTTACATTAACAGGCAGCTGGCCTGCAGGCTGTAGTTTGAAGATTTGATTTTTCTTTTAAAACACTGCACTAAAATATATTTGTCTTGATTATTGAGTTTGTGGATGAACCCTGGCCCCTGTGGGGACATTTTGTGCTTGTGGAGATGGGTACCTCTCTCTGCTCACTCAGTTTCAGCCCTTGATTAACAAAGGCTTAGGAATCACTGCCACAGATGCTACTGAAATTAACATGTGGTGTCTCGTTAATGATGGCTGCCATGTCAGGTGAAAGAGTGTTGTCACTGAACCCAAGAATCTGCTCTCAGGTTGCCAGGGAAATAAGGCTGTTTTTCAGAAACTCAGTTTACTCTCAAAATTTCAGGACAGGGTGTAATGTAGACGGAGGCTCACTCCAAACGGAGGTTCATTAGCTAATGGTTGATACTGCCCATTCACCAGCAGAGGGAGGGCATGGGAAGGTTTTGCCCATTCACCAGCAGAGGGAGCGCATGGGAAGGTTTTAGGATTTTTTGAAGCCAAACGCACATTCTAAAGAAACCATCTTAGGAATGAACTTCCCTTTCTAGTTTCCTTCCGGAACACAAAGAAGGTATGAGTTACAGGGCCCTGGGCAAACTCCAGACAGATTCTGATGTGGGTGGCGTAAGGTTTAAACCAAACCTGCAGAGACCCTCAGTTAAAGATTTGAGTCACTCTTTTGGCTATAACGCATCCCTCTACCTCCTCTGACTGTTGTTTCCGAGATTGCTTTATGGTATTCTCTGCTCTCGAGTCCGAAGTGATTCTTCAGACCCAGGAGTGTGGAGCCAACATTGAACCAGGAAACCACAGCAGATCGTTCTTTCCCCGATGGTCTGAGCACAGCTTCGGAATTCCACAGACAGGCTTATAATTTAGTGTTCTGTATTTTTCTTTGTGGGTGGGGTCTGTGCAAAACATTCATATTCAACCCAGATATTTTTCCTGATATTTCCTGACTCACCTGTGATGAAAGTTTCACTGAATACAAAACAAAACGGAACTGTATTTGTCTAGTTAAATCAACCGTCATGCTTATAAACTTCTTTTTTGTTGGTTCTTTTTCTTTCCTTTTTTTCTCCCCCTATTTTACATGAGACAGATAATGTGCCAATGTCATTGTAACAAGGTTTAGAGGAAGGTACAGCTCACACATGACCATGAAACCCAATTGCCGGCCGGGCACGGTGGCTCATGCCCGTAATCCCAGCACTTTGGGAGGCCGGGGAGGGCAGATTACTTGAGGTCAAGAGTTCAATAAGAGCCTGGCCAACATGGTGGAACCCCCTCTCTACTAAAAATACAAAAATTAGCCAGGCGTGGTGACACACACCTATAGTCCCAGCTCTTTGGGAGGCTGAGGCAGGAGAATCTCTTGAACCTGGAACGTGGAGGTTGCAGTGAGCTGAGATTGTGCCACTGCACTCCAGCCTGGGCAACAAAGTGAAACTCCATCTCAAAAAAACTGAAAATAAATTTTTTAAAACCACATTATTAGTCAAGTTATGTATATTGAACTTAACCAGAAATAACCTTACTAGTGACAGACATCAGAAAGTAATTTTTTTAAAAAATCAGGCTTAATAACAAGGAAAACAACGTTTAGAGCAAAACTTACCATGGGTCCTGAAACAATTTCTCCTACTGTTTAGTTTGAAATAACTGGCTGCTGCTCCCAGCAGTGTCACCACCACCACGGATACAATGGGAGACACGATTTTTGCTACCATATTGCCTGCAGGAGTGGAGAAAATGCAAGCTCATTGAGAAAAACACTGCAGGCAGGAATACTGCTTCAATATTAGGTTGGTGCAGAAGTTATTGTGGTTTTTGCCGTTGAAAGCAATAGCAAAAATTGCAATAACTTTTGCATCGATCTAATAACTTCTCCATCATATCTCTTCCCATCCTTGTGTCCACAGAAAAAAAGAGAAAGTTAATTTTAAAAAATAAACAAAAGAGAAAAAAAAAACAACTTAGAAAGTAATTCTGTTTTCACAAAGAGCCAAGCTTGTCAACCACATTTTACCACTGAAGACATCCAAGACCAGGATTTGCACAGAGGAGGCACTTGGCATTTTTGTTTGTTGAATTCAATTTGTGTGTGCATTTTTATTAATTTGCTGTATTTATTTGTTAGTGTTCTTATTTTGAGACAGAGTCCCAGGCTGTCACTTATTCTGGAACATAGTGGCATAGTCTTGGCTCCCTACAACCTCTGCCTCCTGGGCTCAAGCAATTTTCTTGCCTCAGCCTCCTGAGTAGCTGGGACTACAGATGTGAGCCACCGCACCTGGCTAATTTTTGTATTTTTAGTAGAGACAGGGTTTCACCATGTTGGCCAGGCTGGTCTCAAACTCCTGATCTCAAGTGATTCACCGCCTCAGCCTCCCAAAGTGCTGGGATTACAGGCCTGATTTCTTTATTTTTTTAGAGATGGGGTCTCACCATGCTGCCTAAGCTGGTCTTGAACTCCTGGGCTCAAGTGATCCTGTGCCTCCACCTCCTGAGTAGCTGGGGTGATAGGCATGTGTCAAAACTATTTTGTGTCCTTTTAGATGTAGAATGTTTACTGATGCAAAAATATTATTCAATTAAAAACTGCCAGATAAACCCGCTTTCAAAGGCATGCTGGAACTCTAGACCTAAGCACACACCAGACATATGCATCTTCAATGCCTCGATGGCAAATTACCCCAGAGCTTTGGTACTCCTGCACAAAGAACAAGAACAACCTTGATGTGACAAAAATTGACACTTCCAAAGGGTAAAAAAGGAAGAAATCACTGTTTCCATTTGAAATAGCCACCCTTTCCATGCATGCCTTTCTTCAGACTGGGTTGAACACCTGGGCCGATGTGTGGCATGACAGCTGAGGGACACAAGGCTGCTCCATGAACGAGGCTGTCAAGCTGGGGGAAAGAGTATTGTCACTGAACACAAGAACCTGCCGCATCCTGCCTCCTGCGAGAGATAGCCCTGTATCCTTCCCCTCCCTGCGTGCACACACTCCACAATACGACTTCACAGCGTTCCCCATCCAGAGGAGGACCGCATATTTATTCTGAGAATCCAGGCTTTAGCCAACAGAATGCCACAGAAGTGAAGATGTGATGGCTCTAAACCCAGCTGTTGGTACCCTGCCTGGTCACCATGTGATGAAACCTGGCCTGGCTTCCTGGAGGGATGTCAGAACCCACAGGAAGCTGAGATGAGCCATTCCACCTAAGGCCCCAGATACATTAAGAAGACCCAGGAAACATCATCAAAGCGCTGGCCACACCTACAGCTGACTGCAGACAAGAGAGGGCGTTCAGAAGAGACCAGAAGGGGCACTAGACTGGTTTTAGCCCAGATTGCTGGCTCACCTAATCATAAACATTTCCCGCCACTGAGTGTTGGGTCTTTTGTAGCATAGCATGACTGACTGATACACGCCTTTTCCTCTTTGCCGTCTCTTACAAATCGATCAAGTACAATCACTTGTCATTACCAAGTGGTCATCCAAGCTGACCGCTTCTCTTCGCCTCCCTTGCCTGGGCTTTAATTCAGCCTGTTGTCATTTCCAGGGAGTACTGAATTGGTCTGAAAGGGGGTCTCCCTGGGCCTTAGTGAGCCTCCTCAGGTCCATTCTTCACCCACACATCAACAGGGGCAGACTCTTTCCCATGAAGGTTCTATGAAGTGCAGAATCCACTTCTGCTAACCCGGTCATCTTCCCCAGTCACCATGGCGTCCTTCCCCGGCTCCCGTTGCATTCCACACCCTGGCTACACAATTTCTGGTGTTCCCAAGTGTGTATCCAGCTCTACCTAGCACACTATCTTCCCTGACACCTCACTCTGCTCCTGGGCACCTCCCACCCATATTTTGGGCATTGGCTTGGATATTGTTCTGTCTAGGAAGCCCTACCTCCGTCACCTAACCCAGTCTAGGAGTAACCCTTCCGCCTTGCTACAGGATCCCATATGTTCCAGAAAATTATTCATCAGACTTGACTGCAATCACTTGTTCATTTGCCTTGCCCTTTCCATCTCTGGACCTCACTTTACACCACAGAGGGAAAAAGGAGAATCAATAAATTTTTCTAAGGATGCCAGCATACCCCAAAAATATTGATACTGGTACTCTGCATTGAAATGGAGAGGTCACCTTCAATCACTTTCTCCTCCCCCATAACTGAAAACTCACAAGAGCCTTGGGGTTGAGTGCGTTTACTCTCAACTCAGCTTAAACTCAAGCAGGTGTCAGCCCAAATCTCTAAGAGCCGGACTTAGGGAATGAGGAGCCTGTTCTCCCAGCCGCACAGGACACAAAGTCAGCCTCTGCACTTAAAGTCCTCCCTCCTCTGACCTGCGGCGGGGCTGACAGTGCACTCTGAGGACTTCTTTGAGCAGAGTTCATAACTTCCTTTCTCCTGTCGTTCTTGGGTTTCAAGTTAGCGCTGGTGAAAGAAAGGGGAGTCATGGTGGTACTGGGAGAAACCGCAGCCTTGCTCTGAGAGCAAAGAGGCATCTTCCACAGTGAAAAACCAATGCTTGCGCCTCCTTTGTCTGAACTCAGATCGGTCGTTTGGAGCCTCTGGACAAAAATGGTCAGACACTTTTGTTCAGACGCTGCTTTACATACATAGAAAGTGTGAGTGCTCCATGGAAGCAGTGGGATTGGGAGGCATTGATTTAGGAGTCTGTGCACTTCTTAAAGGTTGGGACCAGGTGAGTCAATCAGTTACCTTCTGAGGAGTCATGCCCCACGTGGTAGTCTCCACCTGTAAACAGAAAAGGACACTCGTGTTTATTCAGCAGAGCTTATGGAGTGCCTTCTATTGCTAGGCACTGTTGAGGATGCGACTATGACAGCACACAGATCCCTGTTTTCAGGGAATTTACAGTCTTGTCGGGGGAGGGGGACGGCCAAGCAGCATGAGGCGGAGGAATGTGAATGTGCATGCCATGCCTAATAGTCATTAGTGGAATGGAGATGATACCAGGGAGAGGGAGGTGCAGCTTTCATTTCAGGGCTGGGGAGTCTACGTACACGCGTATGCAAAACACATGCGGGCAGACAACCTCACGGACGCACATGCACACACACATGCCATTCATACACACATATGCACGTGCAACACACACTGACATGCACAAATGTGTGTGCACATGCATACACACATGTAGCATGTAACAACCTTGTGCAACAAAAGGCAGGCAAGCACACATATACATATGCATACACACACATGCATCTACACACGTGTGCAACACGTAAAAGCAAATGCAACACAGAAGCACACGTGCGTTCAATGCACACATTCACACACATGCACATGCCCACACATACGCACAAACACACATATGCATACACACACACAGGCAACACAAGCACATATAAAGCACAATTTACCTAAACACACTTGTACACATTGTGTGCATATGCACATCCCTATGTGTGCACCTGTATGCAGAAACACATAAACACATGCATGCTCACACAAATATGCACACACACATAAACACATCCATGTGTATGTGCATACCTGGACATATGCATGTATATGTACAGTCCACATGCACAGATGCATATGATATATTCATGCAGTACCCACGTGCACATGTGGTAGCACACATCCAGATGCATATGTGTGCTTGCACACCCCTAAATGTATGCATGTGAATGGACACACATGGGAAACATGCAATACATATGCGACCCAAGCACAAATATGCACATATGCAAACTCCACTTACACAAACATGCATGCACTCAATCTGCGTGTGTGCACAGACACTTCCACACGTGCACTTGTTATCCACATGCATTTATGTACATGATTACAAAATCCACATGCACACGTGTACGTTCATGCATACACCATACACACACATACCTGTGTGCAAACACACATGCATACATACACACACGTGCACATGCATGCACCCAATAACACCTGGAAGTGGGCCATGGTTCCTTTCAAGAAACTAAGTCTTCATGGCATGCGCATCTCCCCCAGCAGGGATGCCAAAGGAAAATGCAAGCTAGAGACCCGGATGGCCAGTTGGCTGTTGTGCACTGGATAAAAGCACCAGCTTCCCATCAGCACCCAGACAGTGTATTAGTTATTCACAATGGACAGCTTTGCCTCACACATTCTGTAAGACATAAGTCCTTTACCATCAGTATTTCCATAAAGAGAGTTGAGTCTACAGCTCACTCTTTCTTCAGGATAGAAAAGAGACCATGAAATGCAAGATATTGCCGGAAAGTCTACATGATCTCACAGAAGCAAACAGGTCAGCAAACCTGAGCAAGATGCTTTGAAAGGCTCTCCCAGGGCCAGGGGAGGAGGACAGGTGTCGTCTCACCCCTGCTTACTGTTCACGAGGTGAACAGTAGATGTACATCTGCTGAAGGTGCATTAGACGGACATCCCTGGAGGCCTCACATAGATGGGCAAATGTGTTTTCTTGGACATCAAAAAGAAAAAAAGCCAGCAAATGTTGCTTAAAAAAGGACAATAGGGTGAAAATGGAGGCCATAAATAGTAATCAAAGCCCATTAAAAAAAGAGTTTCTCGCTGGGTGCTGTGGCTCATGCCTATAATCCCAGCACTTTGGGAGGCCAAGGCGGTTGGATCACCTGAGGTCAGGAGTTCGAGACCAGCTTGGCCAACATGGTGGAGCCCCATCTCTACTAAAAATACCGAAAATTAGCCGAGCATGGTGGTGGGCGCCTGTAATCCCAGCTACTCGGGAGGCTGAGACAGGCGAATCGCTTGAACCCAAGAGGCAGAGGTTGCAGTAAGCCGAGATCGCGCCACGGCACTCCAGTCTGGGCAACAAGAGTAAAACTCCGCCAAAAAAAAAGAGTTTCTCCCGGTTGGGTGTGGTGGCTCACACCTGTAATGCTACCACTTTGGGAGGCCACGGCTATAAGACCACTTGAGCTCAGCTGGAGTCCGGCCTGAGGAACACAGCAAGACCCCGTTCCTACTAGACACACAAAAAATTAGCTGGATGTGGTGGTGTGCACCTGCAGTCTCAGCCACTGGGGAGGCTGAGGCAGAAGGATTGTTCAAGCCCAGGAGGCAGAGGGTGCAATGATTTATGGTCACGCCCCTGCACTCCAGGCTGGGCTACAGCGTGAGAGCTTGTCTCAGAAAAAACAATAACAAAAAAGTTCTTCTTTATTTTTTTAATGTGTTAAAAGCGATTTTTAAAATACAGATTTGAGATTTTTTAAAAAATGCTTTGTGCTGATTTTGAAGTGGAATGACTTATACGGATAGTGGGTTCTATGGGCTGAACTGTATCCCCCTCCAAATTCACAGGTCGAGTGAGTCCTAACCCCCAGGGGATCAGGACTGTGACTGTGTTTGAAGACAAGGTCTTTAAAGAGGTGATTAAAGTGAAATGAGGTCACTAGGGTGGGCCCTGCTCCAAAGGACAATAGTCCTTATGAGAAGAGGAGGTGAGGACACACACACACACCGAGGACGACCCTGTGCGGACAGGGGGAGGAGACGGTGTCTCCAAGCCCAGGAGCGAGGCCTCGCCAGCCCTGCCCACGCCTGCATCTCAGACCCCCAGCCTCCGGGACGGTGGGAGATGATGCCCCTTTGGTTTCAGCACTCCTGATCATAGTACTTGACTATGGTAGCCTTAGCAGACTAAAACAGTGGGTATGAGAGAAAGCTGCCCATTAGCGTTTAAAAACTGCGAGTGAAACATGTTCTCGCCACTCTCTGGAGGGAGGCCAGCCAAGGTCAGCTCGCACCCCTCAGTGCTCCAGATGAGGCGGGAACAGGCCTCTGGGGAGAAGCTGGGTGACTCATCCCCTGGCGGCGGCTTGCATCCCAGCAGGCACGTCCTGCTCATGCTGATCCCAGCGCTGACTCACAGCCTCGCTCTGTGGGGGCTGGAGAGCAGGCGTCCGGGCGGAAAGAGAAGCACAGGCGTCCTTGAAAACGAGCATCACGCCCCCAACCTGGCTGTGCTTCCACAGGGCCCTGGCCCTGCCAAGGAGCACAGGGATATTTCCCTGCAGTTTTGCCCCAGGGATAGAGCAGCACCCTGACCGGTACGCTTTGATCCATTCTGGAGACAGATAATGGTCTCCCCAAAAATGGCACAGCGCAGACCTCCTGAGACTAACTTCACAGGAATACAGGAAATGATCAGGGCTCTCAGGAGAACCGCTTGATGAGTCACTTCTTTCTAATTCATGGGTATGCCAGAGAACAAAAGAGCACGTCCTGAACAGCTCCTGACAGAGGATTTCCACAGAAGGCTCATTCCTAGGCTTCATATAACACCCTCCAAGGTGGGCCAGACGTGGTGGTGCAGGCCTGTAATTCCAGCACTTAGGGAGGCCGAGGTGGGAGGACTGCTTGAGCCCAGTTCAAGACCAGCCTGGGCAACATGGCGAAACCACCTTTGTAAAAATCGTAACTGAGGCAATGATGACAGTGAAAGAGGTTAGACCTGACCGACTCCATGTTGCTTGTAACCCTTAAGCTGTCCTTGTTCATTCCTGGGCATAGGCCGAACTCACTTTAGGAGGAAATTCAGTTCATGGTTTGACTCTGAAACAAAACTGGTAACAGCCTTTTCCTGAAAACCCTCCTCCTTGCCTGGGGCCAGTCTACCTTTATAGAACTAACAAATTAGCTACACGATGAGAAATCATGCTTTAGTGCTGGGCGTGGTAGGCCTGTAATCTAGCACTTTGGGAGGCCGAGGCGGATGGCTTGCCTGAGGTCAGGAGCTCGAGACCAGCCTGACCAGTATGGTTTCTAATAAAAATACAAAAATTAGCTGGGCGTGATGGCGTACGCCTGTAGTCCCAGTTACTTGGGAGGCTGAGGCAGGAGAATTGTTTGAACCCAGGAGGCAGAGGATGTAGTGGGCTGAGTCCACGTACTTGACCCCCGGGTGGGGGACAGAGGGCCACCCTCTTTTAAAAAAAAAAAAAAAAAAGAAAAGAAAGAAAGAAAGAAATTACGGTTTAGGGGTCATGCAGCCTCTGGCTCCAAGAGTCTGAACCCCTCCAAATTGCTCCTGGGGATAACGTCACTATTGTAAAACCTAAGTCCAGTGCTTGAGATATTTTGCAGCCCCTGCACTGGATGGATATGCTGACCCCACCAGTTCTGCCATCCCACCCAGGAACAGAAAACAGCAAGAAAACCTCACTTCAACCCCCTGTGACTCCATCTCCAACCTGACCAATCAGCACTCCCCACTTCCCAAGCCCCTACCCACCAAATTATCTTTAAAAACTCTGGTCCCTGAATGCCTGGGGAGACTGATTTGAGTAATAATGAAACTCCTGTGTCCGGCACAGCTGGCTCTGCGGGAATTACTCTTTCTCCATTGCAATTCCTCTGTCTTGATAAATCAGCTCTGTCTAGGCAGGGGGCAAGGTAATGGGTTAGGGGTCATGCAAGCAGAGGCCACGAGATTCCAAACCTCTTTGGGGGATAGCATCACTATCGTAAAACCCAAGGTTGAAGTTGAGGTACGTGGTAAACCCTGCATTCACACGAAGCAGCCAGCACTGCCCAGACTGGTAATGTGGCTTAGGCAGTTCCTCCATCCCACAGAGGAACAGAAGGCAGCAAGGAGAACCCCCTTCCATCCTCTGATTCCATCTCTAACCAGCCAATCAGCATTCCCTACTCCCGGGTCTCCTACCGGCCAAATTATACTTTAAAAGCCCAGTGTCCAAATTTTTGGGGAGACTGCTCTGAGTAATAAAACTCCAGTCTTGCTTAGGTGCAGTGGCTCATGTAATCCCAGCTCTTTGGGAGGCTGAGGTGGGAGGAGTACTTGAGGCCAGGAGTTGAAAATCAGCCTGGGCGACATAGCAAGACCCCATCTCTACAAAAAACTTTAAAACAGTAGCCAGGTGTGGTGGCACACACCTGTGGTCCCAGCTACACAGGAGGCTGAGGCAGGAGGATCACTTGAGCCCACGAGGTTGAGTCTGTACTGAGCTATGATTTCACCACTGCAGGCCACCCTGGGCAACAAAATGAGACCCTGTTTAAAGAAAAAAAAGCAAGAACTCCAGTTGATATAGGAGTTAAGAAGGAATTACTTAATTACTTAGGCACATAGCACGGGTATGGGAGTTATCAGTAAGGCTTTTCTTTTTAATAAAAAGCAACCCCAAATCATTTTCTAACAAAAAGCAGCATATAAAGTTGAGCTGCAGACACAGACAAGCCAGCTGGGAGCGTGCGCAGGTGAACGCCAGCAGACACGTTCAAGATGGTGACTCCATCGTCCCTCCTCTTTGTCAGCCACGTGTACAAGGTGGAAGCAATCAACTGGAAAGCTCATTTGCATAATAAGATTAGGGTGGGGAGCCCAGCCTTCCCCACGAACTATGCGGACGTCATACCTGACTCTGACACCTTTACAGGTCTGAAAAGAAACATTTACTTGGATTGTCTCTGAGCACTGGTACCTGGGAAGCTTCACCTGCATAACAAGGACCCCCTTGCTAGCCAGGCCTCTTCCTGTCTCCCTCTCATCCATCGCCTGGCTGCCTGTTAAACCTGCTTTACCAACATCACCTATTTTGGGCCATGCTCTGAGCCCACATTCTTCCTGCAAAGTACTGCAAATAACAAACTCAAATGGCAAAGACATGGAATCAACCTAGGTTCTCATCAGTGGTAGACTAGATATGGAAAATGTGGCCCATATACATTGTGGAATATTACACAGCCATAAAAAAGAACAATATCATGTCCTCTGCAGCACACAGATCGAGCTGGAGGCCATTCTCCTAAGCAAACTAATGCAGGAACAGAAAACCAACTACCATGTGTTCTCTTTTACAAGTGGGAGCTAAACATGGAGTACGCATTGTGAAAGGAAATTGAATTTTGTGATTCTGAACCCATTTAAGCAAAGTGAAAAGTCAGGCTGGGAACTGGGTCGCACAAACCCGCCTCCCCATTTTCTTTTTTTTTTTTTTTTTTTTTTTT